ACAGCTTACCTGGGGAGCATGGGCACTGATTAAGTTTAAAGGAGTGAAGTTATAGTAAAAGTGTATCTAGTGGTGAAAGTTAGCGTCTACTGACTGAGTTTAACCAGAACTTTGTACATACTGCGTGTGTTTGTGAATCTCCACAAGTCACTCTTGTTAACCAAGAGTAATAAAGCATCAGTCGTGCAAAAGGCGTGCTTTAATTTCCGATCCCCAAACTCATAGAACGTAACAATATGTTACGTCGAATTTTCTATATTACGTGTACATTTATTTAATAAATTTAGTTTTACTTAACGTAGTCTTGTATACCACATTGGTCCATGTGAGAAGCAATCCTCTTTTAAGTCTGTGTCTGCTACTTTTAATGACTAACCCAGAGATTTATAATGGTCATTGTAAAGCGAACTTAAGGGGGAATTGTAATCGATTAAATTCAAAAGAGTAGTTAGAGGGTAGGGACTAGGGAGTGGTAATTGAGGTATGAATACCAATTTCCCCCGAGCACATCCAGCAAACAAAGTGGCCACTATAATGTTTTTATGGAGTGTTTCTCGCGGACACATAGCTTAAGTGGCTTATTTATTACACGCCAACCTCCTCCTTCTCCTACGACTCCTAAAGGCTAAACTTTAGGAGGAGTCTGTGAGCAGGGAGGCTTGATAGGTTAACACTATTAAAGAACTCTACAGGATAGTGAACTACTTTATCCATTTACATCACTGAGTCGACAGACCTCTCTTTTATTGTGACCCCTCGAAGACTAAAGCTGCAAGTTATTAAAAGAATTTTCGGGTATGGCATAACTGGAGGAGTGGGTGGTATTTTTGAATAGGAAAGGTGATGATAGGGAGTCTTAAGTTTTGTGATCTTGTTTTGTCAAAAGTTATGGAGCCTTAAAGTTACAAAATATTCATAGTTTTTCCATACCCAAATAAGTCATTACATACTTTTAAATAATAGTAAGCCTTCTTTTTAACTGAATTCCAATAGGTTCTATGTCGTCTGTATGTATGTTTTTTTAATGTATGTTCACCGATTTCTCAGAGACAACTTGACCGATTTTGCTACTTTAAACTGTATTGGATAATATTAAGGTAAATTCCGAGGTAGTATCATAAAATTTTCTTTGATATAGACTATACCGTTTTCAAGAAAATCATGAAAAACCTTGAAATTTTATGTACGTTAACAGATCTAATTAGACTTAATAACTTACTTCTAAAATTATTGTCATATCGACTTGAAATATAATAAAACAAGTGTTTGTAATTATTTTGATGATAGAATAGTAATTTGTGATAGCTTGGAGCTGATCTGATGGTAATAGGGGAGAATGGAAGAGGAAGCTTACTGCGCCGACCCCAAGTGACTTGGGAAATGGGCAGGAAGAAGAAGGTTTGACTTGATAAACGTAATATGTCAGTATTGGTTTCTAGACCCTGGATTAGGTATCTATTGTAAATCCCCCCCAACGTGCGTTCACCTTGTCGTGGTGGGGGGGCTCAGTAGCAGTAGCGAAGCTAAGAAACGCACAGGGAGGATGCCCACTTCGGTGGGCGGTGGGAGGTGGCCCTCTTCGGAGGGCGGTGTACCATGCGGGTTGCTCCTGGTACTTCTCTGATAGCAGAGTGGACTGTGGAGCAACCCCATGGTTGTGGTGGTCTGCTTCGGCGGACCTGCCGTCGGGGCGTCGTAGTTGAATGCGTAAGCGATCCTGCGACGCCTCATTAAGACGGGGGAAGGTTTTGTTGGGTTTTAGTGGGTAGTACTGGCTGTATTACGCCGGTGAGTCCCACACGTCGTGCGTAAATGCATTTCCCAACGTTAAAAAAAAAAAAGGTGTCTATTGTAAATGAAAACCCCCGTTCAATATTTTTTTAGTATTTTCACTTCACTTGGAAAAGTATTTTGAATTAAATAATCTTACATTTTGACAAAACTGTCTATTTCTTATGAGAAGATAGATTAGTATTAGTATAGATTTATTGTATTGGCGTTAAGAGCAAATGCATAGAAGAATAGATACAAATATCTGCATAGATTCAAAATGTTCAATATTTACGTCGTCGAATAAATAAATTCTTAAACAATATTACATACATATTATTTTAAAATGATAAAAGAAACTACTTCTGTCTTGCAAATCAAACAATTGTATTAGTAAAATACTCACAGTTCACTGTTCAGTATTCGTAAGTGGAATAAAATAAGGGATTCTTTTCAACATTCATATTGAGTGTTGTATAATTTATAATGTATTCATCATAATTAATCGGACTTCCTCTAATATTTTGATTAGTGTCATTTTAGAATACTGATTAATATCAGGTAAAACGCGTTAGGTTATTATAAGTGATTTTATTTTATGCTTTATGTCTTGTATTTTTCTTTAACTTTTGTTGCTGTTGTCGAGATCTAAAATTTTTTAATCAACTAAATGAGGTATGGTAAATATATTCAAATACTAGTGACTCACCCTTGCTTCGCTCGGGTTTGTCATAAATGGCTTATGGTGTGTTCAGAGTCGATATGCATCTCTCCCTAATGATCGGGAGACTTGCCCAATGATATTTGGCGTTCGATGCCCAGTATAATAATTGGTTCCCTCCCAACGTGCGTTTAACTTGCCGTGATAGGGGAGTTCATCAGCGTCCGGCAGTTCAACCGGACGCTAATTAAGACAGTGGTAGCCCAGTGGTAATGCGCTCGATTGGGAAACCAAGTGAAGTGGGTCCAAATCCCAGGTCTCGCACCTCTGATATTTTCATGTGCGAATCATTTCTAACATGATTTCCACTTGCCTTACGGTGAAGGAAAACATCGTAAGGATACCTGCATGGCTAAGAGAACCTAGCAAGGTTTTGAAAGACATGTGAAGTCCGCCAACCCACACTTGGCCAGCTTATCGGACTATGGCCTGATCCCCATCGTATTGAAGGAAGGCCCGTGCCCAGCAGTGAGATCTTAAAAAGGGCGAAATACATACTTACTTACATCACTACACAAAGTATAAGTATAAATTTCCCGCACACTTTTGGAGAGTATTATAACGCCACTAAGAAGAAATGCGACTGATTACAGTGTGTTCATTGTGGTTTCATGAAGACTGCAGTAAAGATTTAGCGAAATGCATAAAGTGTAACGTCTGAGTATGCATTAATTACTCGTGGGTATATATTTCTGATTGAGATACCCATATCAGATCTGGGTGAGATGACCATTTTTTATTACTAAAAAAACATTTTTAATATAACTATACCACCAAACCACCAAATTTAATCTAAATGGCATAAATAAATAGTGATTCAAATAAACTATGCATATTTTATGTAGTATCTTACATATTATATAATTAATTTTGATTTTTTTTTAAACTATAGGCAACGCTCTCTGACTTACTATATTAGTTTAAACTCTTTATTACAGACACGTGAGTCATAATTCCGAAATTACGCAAATACGTAAAACATTTTTAGAGATAGGACTCTTATCGCCTAACCTAACCTGTTTGGAAAAGAATTGAGACTATTGTATATTTTATAGAATAAAAATAATAATCAAATATCTTCTTCTATATATATGTATATATATATATATATATATATATATATATATATATGTATATATATATATATATATATATATATATATATATATATATAATAAACTCGGGAACTGTTAGAATGATTTTTATGATCTCTGTTTTGTTGGATTTGTCTTCATCCTTAATAGCAGAATAACTGTATATATCTATAAATATTTAATAACCGTAATAAAAAATCGTAAAAATTAACGAGAAAAAATTTGAAAAACAAATATATTCCATACTAAACATCAAAGCGTACCTAGGAACGAACCTGAGTGAAGCGAGAGTCAGTCGCTAGTATTATACAAAACAAAGTCAGGTTAGTTACACCATTTATAACTCAAGTACGGTTGGACCGATTTTTATGATCTTTGATTTGTTGGATTTATCTCTGTCCCGAATAGCAGAATAAGTATTAAAACATCAGAAAAATCCACGATAGAAAATATATATGGCTAACGCTGGCTAATTTGTATAGGATTATATCTACTTAAAATGTACCTAGCGACGAACCCGAGCGAAGCGAAAGTGAGCCGCTAGTTATATTATAAAAACCAGCGAAAATTATGGTCAGTTTTCATAACTAGCCTAGGGGTACTAATATTATAAATGCGAAAGTTTGTGAAGATTTTTGGATGTATGGATACTTGTTACTTATCACGCAAAAACTACAGAATGGATATAAATGAAACTTTACAATAATATGGCTTATATATTACACACATGAAGGCACGAAGAATCATACATAGGCTACTTTTCATTCCGGAAAAATGTACAGTTCCCGTGGGATAGTATTGTTTTTGTTGTTCTAGAGGCGAACGCGAGCCGCTATTAATTAATAAAAATCTTTTTGATTTTGTTCTTTTGTAAAAATGGTGAAACATACTATTGTTAATCTAACTAAATTGCTTTGGCTATATAGTGTTAATTGAAAATTTTAATACACATTGTTCATGTGTGAGTTACGCTTTCGCCAGGGATTTCTACCATTATTCAATATAAAGTTCTATTTTATAGAAAAGGAAGTCGAGTTGTAGAAGAGTATGCTATTAATAATGGAAATATGATCTTAAATTCTTTACAATATCAGAGACATTAGTCAAAAACTTAATCGCTTTCGCTATTGTTATCTATTGTTACAAAAAGTAACTCGAGCGGCGTATTCACTTGTCGCATGCCGCCCTTATTAGCTTTCGGTAAAACGATCTGTCATGATACATCAATCGGATCATAGAAAATTTGAATTTGACACTTACATCATTTTGCATTATGCAGACAAACATAAAAAGAATGTTAGTTGTACACCATGAACAGTCGCGTTTTAGACCGGGAGTAGCGCGCGTGTGTAGACATGTACGCCGTACTAATTACGATTTTAGTGCTATTTGTTACTGGATATATTTTTAAATCTATGACAAAACCGAAGAACTTCCCACCAGGTACCATATAATTTATTTTTAAATGTTTCGACGACTGATGTCGTTACGGCTGATTGAAGTAGTGTCTTCCGTAAATGATTTATTTATAACCTAACTAGGCCGCTTAGTCTAGTTTAATTGCCAAGCTCTGTTACAGAAAGTGCAGTGATTTATGACTTGAATATTTTATTGCTCATTCGAATTGTTTTATACTTACTTACATACACACTAGCTTCAATATTTCTAAGGGCAAAGTTTAAGTAATATATTAAAAAATAAATTTATTTTATTGCTTTATCTAGTAATTTGTTTAAATTTCACAAAGGATTTTATATTTCTGACAAAATAAAGTTATAGAATATTAATATCCCAACGGATAAATAATAATCCCATCAAAACATATCATGTAAAAAAATGCAAGTCTCGCAATGTATTAATTGAATGACTTGTCCATTGGACGGAAAAATAATGACATAAGAATCTCCTATTTTAAATAGTCCTAATTAAACATGGCGGTAGCGGGTCAAATTTATGCATACGCAAATATAAATAATGCATTGAGAACGCTAATATTAGATAAATTTTGTTATTTGTAGGTTCTATTGTAGTGTCTATTGGTTCCATTACCAAGTCTTTCTATTTATTAATGAAATAAAGATATCTAATATTGATACCGTCTCTATAAAATGTCGTTATTTAACTAATTAGATAACAATTTATGATAAAGTTGTTGGATACATGCTACTATAGATAGGTACTGAGTAATAAACTCACAACGTTTTGCGGTACAAGAACTGCGTTGCGAGACTTGCATTTTTTTACATGTTATGTTTTTGATGGGATCTCCTTTTTTTCTATTCTTGTGCTATTTCTTGTGCGCCAACTACGGACTTTCTTAAAGCACACTACCTGTCTCTGTTGGCTTTTGTCAAAGGTTTTGATGTAACAAATTTTGACAAGTCTGAACGATAATTGCTTCTCAGTCTATTGTATTTGGAAATAGCGGATTTTTGGCCTTTAATACTCTTGTCTTATACTTTAAGTAATAGTACATATAAATTTAACGAATGTTTTAATTTTGTTGTTGAACTTATATAAGTTAAATGCAACGTGTAGAATTGTTTTTCTGTAGCATCGTAGGTAAATCCAGAAGGTGTAGTTTTATTGAAACCTGACGTTGCTAACTGATTCTATTCACTTATTCCATTTATATATTTGTTATTTTACAAGTAGGTAATCTTAGAAGAGATTGATTATCTTTTGATCTTTATATTCCATGTTCCATTAGGTGCAAGCGGAGCTAGATTTTTTTCAAAAATGATTTATGTACCATTCCGAATCGAATAATATCTCGTTCATATTTTTCCGAGAATGATGAAAAAAGTCGACCAATAAAAACTTTTTACCAAAAAGTTTCAATTCAATATGACAATTAGACGTAGGTTAAATTCATTATTAGCTATTTTTCCACCCTTAGGGGTGGTATTTTTTTTTTGAAATTCAAATGGAACAGTCGAATTGAGAACCTCCTCCTTTTTGAACTCGGTTGAAAAGGCACTTGTTGACTAGACTAAAAGAGACAGCCATAATGATACAAGTTTATAAGACTCAAGATAGAATAGATGTCATCAAATGATATCAATATTCTTTATTTTAAATTAATTGAGTTGATTTCAGACCAATTTTGATTTTACCAGCTATTGTCACGATAATAACCTTTTTAGATAAATATAAAATCCTATCGTACTGATAATATGGCTTCAGAAAGGGCAAGTTAAGTGAAGATGCCATCGCTTCTCTCTCCTCTTCAATAATACAAGCTAGGCAATAACATACGCTGCCTATCCGTTTTTCTGAGAAAGGCATTCGACACTGTTCTGTTTACATTCTTTTGTATGAGGTAGAGCGTATAGATATACGTGGCATACCGATGCTGCTTTACAAGAACTATCTGGCTGACGGAAACCATAGTATATGGATCGGACAATTAGAAGTGACGATCTAGACGTGACTTACGGCATACCACAAGGTTCTGTTCCTGGCCCTACTTTGTTCTTATTAAATATAAAAGTCCTAAATATTTTGTAATATTGAGCTGTGTGACCTCTTCTACCCTCAGCACCACCAGTGTGAACAAATTTTTCAATAATAATAAATAAATTTTATAGTGAAAAAATTGTCATAAAATTTTATTACTATTTACTTCTAGGCCAAACTAAATAAATAAAAAGCTCAAAGGCTAAATATGAAAAACCCAAAGCTAATTACCGATTACTTTTTATTTTTTACACTGAGAATTTTTTTATATCATGTATTTTGCTGTTACTCACACTAGATGGCATCTCAATTTATTAATTACAACCTATACAAAAACAAAAATCCTTTGTCACATAATCCGTGTAAAAATAGATTTTAATCTTTTAGTCATTTCATCATTTCACGTTTTTTTAAATATATAATATATAGTCTTACAGATTTAAAAAATATATGGACGTAGTCCGCCAAAATAAATGCTAAACATAATATAATAATAGTCATTCATTCAAATCATTCATAAAAAATAATAATCATAACAGCTAAAATTATACAAATAATATTAGTATATTTAATTATAATACTTATTAAAAATATTTCTAAAATGTTTAGAATTAAAATCAACAAATATTGTAAAGCACTTTGGCGGCATTTTTGAATTTTTTCAATTATTTTTGCAAAATAGTGCTTAGGCACTGTCTGTAACAAGTGTATAACCTTTGAGACGTCTAAAACCTTAGACCCCCGATGCCTAATATTGTCCTAGATGGGCCTTCCCAGACACACGCCCATATTTGTGGGCGGCGGAAGAACCCACGGCCCGAGATCTATGCCCTGAAGCCGTTTCCCCACTCCCCTTGCGGGGGATGTGACATGACCAGCAGATAATCTTAGTCTCTCCCGTGACCATGATTGTTGTAAAGTATTCGAAAAGTCGGGAACCAAAAATCAAAATAAATCCGCGAAATAATCCGAAAAGATAGTTTTATTTAAAGTGTCAAATATTCGCGTAAATCGAAAGTATTATAAATGCCAAAGTCAAAAACAGTAATATGATTCGTTGTTTATGATCGATTTTGCTCTACAGATCGTTTACAGTATTTTGAGAATAAGGGAAATTTTATATACGTATTAGTTAAGTTAATATATAATTTTTGGCAATAAAATATGAATAATAAAATTAATACTATATTTTTTTTGTTTTTAAAGCATTAGTTCTCTTCTGAAAGAGAGAAACCCTTAGCATATTGTATTATTTATTTTTATTTCTATATTATAATAAAATGTACTGTTATTTACTTTACTGTGAGTACAAACACTTGCGAAAAAGTATTCGCATCGTCATCGAGAATATTTTGTATAGGATTTTGTATAAAGCCCCTACCGTGCAGTAGCAGGATTAAATTTGCTAGCATGAAACCTTTTGTATCGCTATCGTAGCGTCATCGTATCGAATTTTCATACATTTAAGTTAAGTTTATTGGAAGCACGAAATTTTCCTCACTTAGAATTTATCAGTGACAACATTATCTAATTATATTAAAATACTAGCGACTCACCCTCGCTACGCTCGGGTTCGTCCCTGGCTCTACTTACGTTTTAACGTTTATTATATTATCAGAAATGAGATATTTTTCCGCAGTAAAAAGTATCCTATATGTTGACCCGGATAACCAGCTATGACCATACCAAATTTCATCAAAATCCCTTCAGTAGTTTTTCTGTGATGCGGTAACAGACAGACAAAAATTCTTAAAACTATATATTCAGACTCTGTATCGATAATAATGTCTATTTCAATAAGATTTCCCAAAAAATATTTAATGTACAGATTCGGCTTAGTTACAGTTTTATTATGTTTATAGATAAAATTAAAATAAAGTTTTAAGCGTACCTATATGTGGTGTTATTATGTTATGATGATTAATTTTTATATTATTACTATATGTCCGGCTATACATTGGCGTGGTTGTGTCTAAATAAAGCTTATACACAGCAGCGCTATCCATCATCAGTGATATATATAACACAGATATATTTATATATATATATATATTAATATATATATATATATATTTATATATATATATAATTTTATCTAAAAATGTCTAATCGTTTCAAGCTTAAGGGTAAGAAACACACATACACGTATGTATGTGTTAATTCACCTTAATAACAGAAAACCGATTTGAAGGTTCCTCCTAGTGAAAATCAAATCCAACTAAATATTCAAGTTCAAAAATCATATCAATTTTGATAAATTGCAAGAAATGTGTAATATTAAACGAGCAATTTTTGTATATTTTTTTATACCGGCGATCTCGGAAACGGCTCTAACAATTTCGCTGAAATTTGGTATGTGGGAGTTTCCGGGAGCGAAAAATCGATCTAGATTAGTCTTATGTCTGGGAAAATGCGTGTTTTCGAGTTTTCATGCTGTTTTCATTCGTATTATTTCAAGCAAAATATAGTCGTTAATTTCGCACGCTCGGGCGAATCACAGGTTCGAGTCCCGGTCGGATACAAAGTTTTTACTTTTGTTTTTTTTGTAGTATTTATTTTTTAGTTATTTTTTTTTAAAAGATAATTGCACTTTTGGTCAAAACCTCCGAGTGAAGCTCGGTCGCCCACGTACTTCTAAATATATCGTCATAACATAATATGTTAAAATAGGTTCAAGTTCTACAAGCGCAAGTTCCTGGAAACAAGAGATTGGAATAAAATAGTTAATTATTTTAATTATTTTTTTCTCTTTAATTTTAACTTTTTGCACGAATAGGTGTGTCTAAGTCACGGTCAATGAATTTTTAAATATATATTTCTTTTATTTATAAAGACATTGCTAAAATATAATTGGACGTATAAGCAAATTAGATCTAACTACATAAATTAGGAGTCTAAGCAAAATTGCTATATAAAATAACAAGACCGTCTGTATGTTTCTATATAAAAAAAGGCACTTTGCGGCTTGGATATATTTTGCATAA